GTGTATATTTTCGGGTTAGATCAGGTTCAGGTGGAGGATGTATAATTTTCGGATCGAGTCGGGTTGACCAGAAATCCGTTCTACTCTACCTATGCCCACCCCTACTCATCACATAGTTTTGTGACAATGGTTTAATTATAAATATAATATTTTTATTGAATTAGAAAAAAATGGTAAAATATGTATTTGAATGATAATTCGTTTAAAGTGTTCTAATAAAGATATTATATATTCAAAAATATTTTAATTTTAAATCACAAAATAAAAAATATTTGTATATTATAAAAATAAGCTATTTGTATATTGAATTTTAGTAATTTTGTTTTTCTTTGGATAGAAGAATTAAAATGATTTAGAAATTAATTTTATGACTTTAAAAAATTATTTAATTGGTTCCAAAGTAAAATATTAAATTAATGCATCATGATTTGTTCCTACAATAATAATGATCACATAAATTTAGAATAATTAATAATATTTTAAAGATTTTATTATATAATAAACATACCAATCATGATAATAATAGTTAAATAATCAAAATACCATATCCATACGATAGAAAAATTAAAATGATTTAAAAATTAATTTTATAACTTTAAAAAATCATTTAATTGTTATAAAGTGAAATATTAAATTAAATTAATAAATTATTATTGAATTAATGAAATTAAAATATTAAAATAGAAAATTAATTAAAGTTTCACCTAAATTTAAGACAGTAAGAATGTCTTAATCCTTCAATATTTTTAAATGAAATATATTAGTAAGGGAAATAGTAATAATAATTAATATAGCTAACGTGAATAGTTACAGTAAAATATAGGTACAAAGAAAATCAAAGTCTTAACGTCAATATAATCATGTTTTAGAAGTTAATATTGACATGAATGGATAGAGTTTTAGTTGTAGTATTATTAGGAGTAAGCGTGGAAATAGGATTACATATACATTATATATACAGATTAAACAGAGCCAAAGTTCCTATCATAATCTTTCTACTTACCTCACGCCTTTGGTGCCAGTGCGATTTCCTTTTTCTTCTCAGTTATTAGAATGGCCGTCGGTGGAGGTATCTCTTCCGGTGCCGGAAAACGCTACGATGGAAATTTTACTTCAAAGGTCTTTTTCGCTTGCTCTGTTGCGGCTTCGGGTGGATTAATCTTTGGTTATGATCTTGGGATTTCTGGTAAAAAAACATTCTCTCTTGGCTTTTTCTTTTATCATTAAAGATTGTTTGGAATAATATCGGCGAACTGATAAATTTTGCAGGTGGAGTTACATCCATGGATCCTTTTCTAGAAAAGTTCTTCCCGCATGTTTATAGGAAAGAAGTATCTGTCCAACCTTCGGACGATCAATACTGTAAGTTTGACAGCCAAATATTAACGTTGTTTACATCGTCGTTATATTTGGCTGCTCTTCTGTCATCCATGACAGCATCTCGGATAACCCGAGGGCTTGGGAGGAAGAAGACGATGATGTTCGGAGGTTTACTTTTCACAATCGGCGCTATTCTCAACGGCTTTGCTAAAAACGTACCCATGCTTATTATTGGCCGTGTGCTGCTGGGTTTTGGCATTGGATTTTCCAATCAGGTACTTATCACCATAGTTTTTGTTTTGTTTTGTTATGGATATCATATCTGTTTTTGTTTATATCTGAATTTTACTTGCAGTCCATTCCGATCTACTTATCTGAGATAGCTCCCTTCAAATACCGAGGAGCTTTGAACATTATGTTCCAATTGTCAATCACCATTGGTATATTAGTTGCAACTTGTTGAACTACTTCACAGCTAAGATCGATGGTGGATGGGGTTGGCGAGTAAGCTTGGGTGGAGCCGTCGTCCCTGGTTTGATATTTTCCCTTGGTTGTCTCTTCCTCTCGGACTCACCGAACTCGTTGCTCGAATGCAACAAATTGGAAGAGGCTAAAGATCTGCTGAGAAAGATCCGTGGCATCGAAAATGTTGATGAAGAGTTCAAAGATTTGGCAAAGGCCAGTGAGGCAGCCAAGTTGGTTCAAAGCCCTTGGAGAGATATTGTAAGCAGAAAGTACAGGCCTCAGCTCACCTTTGCAATCTTGATACCCTTATTCCAACAATTAACCGGGATGAACGTGTTCGTGTTTTACGCTCCTGTTTTGTTCAAGAGCATGGGGTTTGGAAACAACGTTTCCCTTATGTCCGCACTCATCACTAGCATTGTTAACTTTTGTGCAACACTTGTTTCCATTGCCACCGTCGACAAGTACTGAAGGAGGACTCTTTTCCTCTCCGGTGGCCTTCAAATGTTTCTTTTCCAGGTAATAATCACTATTTCCATTCACCAACACTTAAGTATTTTGATTTTGCTTACGAAATTCATTCTTTTTCACTTCTCTGCGGCTTGTGATGACTATTTCAATCGCTTCCAAATTCGGTACGAGTGGAAATCCGGGTCAACTTCCACTTTGATTCTCAGTTGTGGTTGTGGTAGCAATGTGTTTCTACATAGCCGGTTTTGCATATTCATGGGGTCCTTTGGGCTGGTTAGTTCCTAGTGAGATATTCTCACTTGAAATCCGTCCCGCTGCTCAAAGTATTACGGTGGCAGTCAACATGATCTTCACATTCGCCATTGCTCAAGTCTTTACGGCTATGCTTTGCAACTTGAAGTTTTGACTGTTTATATTCTTTGCATTCTGTGTGGTGGGTATGAGCATTTTCATCTATAAGTTATCGCCCGAGACAAAGGGAGTCCCCATTGAAGAAATGTTCATTGTTTGGAAGAACCACCCTTATTGGGGCAAGTATGTAGACGACGACAATGCTTTCCCAAGCCATGAAATGGACGAAAAAGTTTGATCTTCTTTTAGAATACCTAGATTAGATTATGATCAACTTCTTTCGGTTAATTGTTGATTTTTATTTGATATTAGTTATAACAATTCTCTTTTTTTGTTTCTTTCAATAAGATATTCTCATTAATTTTATTTATTACAAATAATGCATTTATATCTAGCCCATTCAAAACTTAATAGAAATTCAATAAAAAATTATAAAGAAATGTTAAAATATGTAGAGAAGACTTGATAGAAATTCAATTAAAATTTGTAAAAAATATTAAAGAGACACAATTCAATTATTTTCAAGAAATTTAATTTAATTGTAACCTACGCAATCCAATAAATGCATAACGTCAATACTTCAATATCATTTTTAGCAAAATGTTTAAAGATCAGTCCAACAGAAAAGAGATCAGAAATAAATGATTTCATCATTAATCTTGTAAATTGATTTAAAATCAATTAGTAACCAAGTGCATTTTATCTTAAAATAGTTCAAAATCAATAATAAACGTAACTTTTAAAAATTGAATTGACTCGTAAAATACAATTAACATTATAACTATTAAATTTGATGATTCATAATTTTATTTAGATAAATAAAATAAAGTATAGTTACAATTCAAATGAATAATTCATACAATAACAATTGAATTTTGGCAAGTCCACGAGTTTAAACATTAATCTAGTCTATTCATCTTACCAACCTACAAATAATCATCATGTCCGTAGGTCTGACACTAGCATTAAATGTCACTATAACCTAATTATGAGTTTTTTTTTTCTTTTGATCACCTAATTATAAAAAATTATAAAATTATAAACTTATCACTAATGTTCTCAGTTTTTTTTTTCATCCTCCGTTAAATGAATAAGCACAACTCACCAACCATAGATAAAGCTGAATAAGGAGGTAAAAGTTAATTTACTATAATCTTACCTTTGAAGGCTATAATAATTTACTATCATTAAAGGATTAATTCATATTAAAGTTAACTAATACAATAAAAATTAATTAAACTTCAATAATTAAATAAAAGTATGAATTATATATGCATAAATATTCAAATAATTCATTTTCAATTGATGATAAGATGATTACAAATTAAAGTTATTGTGTTAGCTTATTTATTAGGATTATGATATTCAAATTACAACATGAATTATTTTTTCTAATATCTCATTTTCATATTTGTGAGATTGTTTTTCTTTAAAATATTTGTGTGCTAATTTGAAATATCATAATAAAATATTTAAGAATTTCAACACCAAAATTTGAGGTATTATAATTAGCGACAGATTCAACTATGCTTTCGCATTTAATTTATTGTTAATGATGGTTTGATATGACAATTACTGAGTTTAGATTTATATCAGATTTGTTTTGGTTATATCAAATGGCATTAGAGTTTCATGACGTTGAATCATTTTAGAATTAATTAAATTCTAATATTATTTTTAAATTGATCCAATCTTAACTTTTTTTTAAAAAAAAAATATCTCAATATAGTACTTCGATTATAAATTTCTGTTGATTCTTTTTAGGTTTTGATTATTATAGATTTATTTTTTTAAGATTTTATAATTTGTAAAATTAATATTGTTTATAATTTAATATTAAATTTATTTTTAAAAATTTAAAATAGCATGTAGATTAGTTAAAAAGATTCAACTAATAAACAACAACAACAACAACAACAAAACCCTATTTCTATATGTAATGAGGTAAGAGGGAAGTAGGGTAGTAGGGTATTCCCAACGTATGGTTGAGAGCAGCTTTCGTGGAAGACTTCCGACAGTCAAAAAATTTTAAAATAAAGATAAAATGTAATGCAAGTATAAATTAATAAAGAAATAGAGTATAAAAAACAAATATTGTTATTAGTAAAATAGGAAAGGTGGGCGTTAAAACTTGAACATGACCAAAACGGCAACGAACCGCTATTGTAAAACGATGTCGTTTACATTGGAGCGGGCGGGCACTCGAGGAAGTCTTATAAATTGCTTTTCAAACTTTCGCTCTCCTCGTTGAGTGATAAAGGTCAAGAATTGGAGGAAAAGAAGAGAGGGAACGATGCCAGTGGCAAAACCAGAAGTTTCTGTTTCCAGGGTGATTGCTCATGTCAACATGGACTGCTTCTATGTTCAAGGTTTTTTTTTTGTTTTATGCGATTTTATTTATTTCATCTTTATGTTACTTAGGTTTTCGACCAATTCTGTATTTTCCGTTTCGTTATATTCTGTCCCAATTTCTCAAAATCTTTAAGTTCAGGCGTAACTTATGTCTTTATTCATTACACTCTGTAGTGGAGCAAAGAAAGCAGCCACAATTGCGGGGCTTACCTACTGTTGTTGTACAGTACAATGAATGAAAAAGAGGGGCTTTGATTGCAGTCAGCTATGAGGCTCGTAAATTCGAGGTTAAGCGGTAGTTACAATCTTTTAATGTATTCATTTTTGGGATTCTCAATTGGTGATCTATGTTTCCTTATTTTTTCCATTTCTATCTCGTGTGTGGTTTTTAGTTCAATGCGTGGTGCTGAAGCGAAGGAGGTTTGCCCCGAAATTCAGTTGGTTCAAGTGTCTGTATTCCGTGGTAAAGCTGATTTGAATGGATACCGGAATGCAGGTTCTGAGGTGGTTGACATTTGACAACATTAATACTGTTTCAAGTGTATATTGTTAGTAACTCATTAGAAGACCATCTTATTACTGAATTTTTAACTAAATTTGCAGGTGGTATCTATTCTTTCAAGGAGTGGCAGATGTGAAAGGGCTTCCATCGATGAAGTGTATTTTGATCTTATTGATGCAGCTGAAACTATGCTAGCTGAAAATCCTCCTCAAAGCTTGGAAACAATAGATGAAGAAGCTCTTAAGTCACATATTATAGGGCTAAATTATGAGGTTTGTAGCCATGCTTTGGATAGTCTAGTGTAAGATTCAATAATGCTGTGAATTGGAGTTAATCTTGAATGAATTAGCAGTATCGCATCTCTGTTGATAGACATATGCCAAAATATGTGATCTTAGCTTGAGTGCAAAGTTCTTGGAACTTGGAAGCCTTTATTGCTACTTAGACAACAAAACCAATAGACTTATATCATGCCTTTGATTTTGCTCTCTACTGGGATCATCTTGTACTTTTTTTTTTGCATTTTTGCAGCAGTAAGATTTTGCATCTAAGATGTTATACTATATATGCGACAATGCAGGATGGGAGTGGTGTTAAAGAAAATGTTAGGAAGTGGATAAATAGGCACAACGCTGATCACCATGATAAATTGCTAGCTTGTGGGATCCTCATTGTTGCTGAACTCAGGATGCGGGTTTTTAAGGAGACAAAATTCACTTTGACATTCAGAGCATTAGGCAGAAATGATATTGCGTGAGCATCCGCAGGGACCATCGCAATGCTTTGTTTTAATTAAACAGTCGGATTCCCCTTGTCTGTACCAGTTTTGAGTCGACTGTTCGTCGCCCGGGGAAGGCCCCCGTAGGAGCCGTTCCCAGTCCGTCCCCCGGCCGACACGCGGCGACCTACTCTCGCCGCGGGAGCAGCTCGAGCAGTGCACCGGCAGTCGACGGGTTCGAGACTGGGACCCCGTGCCGAGCCCTCAAAGCCAATCTTTTTCCCGAGGTTACGGATCCATTTTGCCGACTTCCCTTGCCTACATTATTCCATCGACCAGAGGCTGTAGAGAGTGGGAGAGAGAGAGAGGGCCTCAGGCGATCAGTCCTCCGGCGAGGATTGGACGATATTTGTGGACAATTTAAGTAAAAGGGTAACTTGGAGAACAGTAAAGGAAATTTTTCAACAACAGGGGAGTGTTCTGCGCGTTTACATTCCGAGTAGTTCTAACAAGCCAAATTATCATACATTTGCTTTCGTTCAGTTTGCAAAGGAAGATGGGTTGAAGAAGGCGATAGCAAATGTCAATGGTATTTGGATAGATGGAAAGAAAGTATCGGTAGGAGTAGCTAAATATCAGAAGTAGAGGCTCAGGCAAGCTGTTAGTAGTAATGTCAGAAGGGAAGAAGATAAGTTGAAGAAGGGAATGACTTGGAGAAGAATAGGTGGATCTGAGTCTTTCAATCGATTGAGGGATGACAGATCATATAAGGATGCATTAGTATCTTATGATGGGCAGAGGGAAGTTCCAGTGCGTAAAGAGACAAGGGAGGGTCATCCAGGAAAGGAAGCAGGTCTAAGGAATGTGTGGGAGATGCATATTCCCTCAGATGAATATGACTGGGTGAAAAGATCATTAACAGGGATTATCAAATCCCATTTTGAATTGGAGCTAGTAGTGAAGGGGCTGGCTAGTGATGGGATCAAGGTCAAGGGAGCTAAATGGGGTTATTCATGGAACTCTTGTATCTTAACCTTTGGTTCGAAGGAAAAGTTCGAGGAGGCGTGGTCGAACAGAAGGGAGGAACTGTTCTTTCGGTTTGATTGGTTTGATCCACTTATGAGTATGGATGGTGTCCCGATGGCTTTTTGTTCGGTGGAATTGGTTGGAGTCCCCTTGCTATGTTGGAATGTTCCTTTTCTGGAAAAGCTTGTTTCAAGGTGGGGGAAACTGGTGTGTTTTCATGAGTCGACGGTCAGAAGAGAGGATCTGGTGGTGGCAAGGGCACTGTTGAGGGTGACCAGTCCTTATGATATACAGGAAACTGTTACATTGGGCTCGTATGGGAGATCCTTTAAGGTAAAAATTAATGTGGGATCGGTTAGTACAAAACATGATAGCTCTTCAGTAGCAAATTTTACGGTGGCCGGTGATGGTGAGTCCAGAGATGAAGCTTCATCGGAGGAGAAAGAAGATAGGTTTTCAGGCGGGGTAGGTAGCTCAAAGTTGCTAGCTGAGGATTCTAGGGACACAGTAGACAGATGGTTGGTAGGGGATGACCGTACAACAGTGGTAGACTGCAGTGAAAGTCAGCATTTAATGTTGCAGGATGGAGAAGGTCAACTTAGTGGTGGAAAGATGTCAGATTTTTCAAAAGAAGATTTGAATTTTAAAGGGGATTATCGGGGTCTTGGTTTAAGGAATGATATCATCAATGAAAGGGATAAAGCCCAATTAGGGGAGTTGAGTGAGCCCAATTCAAAAAACACTGAAATTTCCCCTTCTGGGCCAGCTGTTAATTTATTTAAATTGGGCTATGGTAATTATAAGGAGTCTCAGGTGGAAATATTAGGAGATCAGCAACATCATGGTTCGGTTGAAACAAATACACAGAATGTGGCTAATGTTCCGTTAGACTTAATCTCAATTTCGATTCTGGTGGAGCCATTGACAGAGGGGCTCCAAAAGTCAAAGGAGGAAAGGTTAGAGGAAGTAACAGTCCAGGATAATGAAGATAGTAGAGCGGAAGCAACAGAGGTGGTAAGGGAAGCAAGGCAAGTTCATATGGGTAGTAACCAAGGGTTAGGATTATATAAGGAGTCTCTTGTAAATGGTCTAAGGAGTTGGAGTCCTTTAGATCATTTGTCTAGAAGTCTACATATAAGGAATGCATCGATAGGAAGGTGGAATAGCGGCTCTATCTCTAGATTGTATAAAAGAACTAGAGACAGAAAGGTGTGGTTTAACCCGAGCAGAGAAGAAGGAGCATTGTAATCTTTGGAGATGACTGATCATAACAGGACTATAATTGAGCCTATGTTGAGTAATCAATCTCTTCCTGTTATCGTGGAGGGAAGATCCATGGGAGTGGTGGAGGAAGGTGGTTCAAGGCACATTTTTGTAGTGGCTAGGAGTGTAAAAGATGTTGTAACAGATTATCAGTCTGGTCCAGTGGCTAGGATGGAGAAAAGAAGAAAGAGAAGGCTTCTGATCAGGGAAGCTCTGGATGTGGTCAGTCTCTATACTGCATCTTTTTCAAATTTCTTGGTATTTTTGAAGGAGGTTTTGGTAACATGGGAAGTCAGTAAAATTTTGGGGATTATATTCAAAGAGGGAAGGAAGGCCTTCTTGGAAAAATTATAAATTTTGAGGAAGGTTTGGATGAAAGTAGGGTAAGGTTGGACTCGGGGGAAAAAACTTTTGTATGCTTTGTTGCTCTGAGGCTTTGGTTTAACAACAGTCTTCATGATAAAGATTAAGATTATTTCATGGAATGTAAGGGGTATTGGTAAGAAGGAAAAATCAAGAGCTTTAGCAAGTATGGTCAAGAAGTACAAACCGTGCATTCTCCTCATTCAAGAAACAAAGTTAGAAAATTGTTCTCAGGCTCTTAGAAGAAGGATAGGTGAAAGTATTCTGAATGGAGGAATTTTTGTTCTAGCAGTGGGGTTTGCAGGTGGTTTAATGGTTTTGTGGAATGATAAGGATTTTGAAGTTCTCAATAGTCACCTAAGTGGTAGATTCATAGCAGTTTTTGGGAAGTTTAAGAACTCAAGTGAAGAGTGTGTGATTATTAATGTGTATGGTCCTTCCATTGATTCTGAAAAGGCTGAATTTTTCAGGGAATTGTTGGAATTTGTTGCTGCTCAAACCGTGTCAGTCTGTATTGGGGGGATTTTAATGTGTACCTTGATCCGGTAGAGACGTTGGGAAAGTCTCAAAATTGGCTCTCTATTGATATTCTGAGAAATTTCTTGAACCAAACTAACTTGATTGATCTTCCTATGGTAAGGGGAAAGTTTACATGGTGTAATAATAGAGAAGCTTCTACTTGGGTCAGACTTGATAGGCTTCTAATTTCTAGGAATTTTCTTATATGTTTTCTGAATATTATGTAGAGCATGTTACCTAGGTCTTTATCTGATCACAATCCCATTGCATTGGAGGAAACATCTGTAGATTGGGGTCCTAAATCGTTCAGATTTTTTAATTATCTTTTAGAGGAGGAAGGTTTTGAGGACTTGGTTAAATCGTTCTTGGATAATTTGCGGGTGAGTAAGAGGAGAAGAGGTATCTTCAGTTTTTTACAAAGAACCAAAAAATCTATCAGAAACTAGTATGGAAGAAAGTTTGATGGGATTTCTGAGTCAATTACAGATTTAGAATTGAAGATTAATGATCTTGAAATTAAAGCACAAAGTGGTGTTATCTCCCAACAGGCGTGGGATCAGCTGATACAGTTCAGATCGAATCTTTTGAGGCTGTATAGAATTGAAGAATGTATTTGGTTCCAGAAATCAAGGGCTAGATGGATCAAAGATGGGGACAGAAACACAAGATTCTTTCATTTGTCTGTGTTAAACAAGAGTAAAAGAAATGAAATTACAAGTTTGAAGTTTAATGGCTCTGTTGTATCTGATCCGAAATCGATTAAGTTGCATATTGCAGATTATTTTAAGGAAGCCTATAATTCTAAGTTAACTCTGGAAGTGGCTGATTTATCTCTGGATTTTGCAAAGCTGACAAGGGACCAATCTTCAAAACTAGAGGAGCAGTTTTCAGAAAATGAAATATGGTAAGCGATAGCTTCATCGGACAGTTCTAAAGCACCAGGCCCGGATGGCTTCACCATGGGTTTTTTCAAGAAATGTTGGCCTAGCTTAAAGGAGCATGTAATGAAATTTTTTCAGTATTTCTACTATGGTAGGTTGTGGGAACATGGGGTTAATCATGCGTTTATTACGCTCATTCCGAAGAAGCTTAATCCGGATAATGTGGAGGACTTTAGACCAATTAGTCTTGTGAGCAGTCTATATAAGATCTTATCTAAATTGTTATCCAAGAGATTGAGTTGTTGTGTTGGAGATATCATAAGTCAGTCCCAATATGCTTTCATACCGGGGAGACAACTGTTGGATTGCGCTTTTATTGCGAATGAAGGAATTGATTATTGGAGAAAACAGGGGTTGCAAGGGGTTGTTATAAAAGTCGATTTTCGTAGAGCTTATGATACTGTAGAATGGCCAATTTTATTTTGAGCAATGTCAGAGATGGGTTTTGGTTATAGATGGTCCTTGTGGATTTCTCAGTGCCTTTCGGCAGCCTCGGTTTCGATTCTTGTTAATGGGTCTCCTTCGGAAGAGTTCTTATGGCCAAGGGTTTAAGACAAGGTTGTAGTCTCTCGCCACCCTTGTTTAACATTGTTGGTGAGATACTTTATTTGATGCTATCCAAAGCAGTCGAAAAGGGATTGTTTCAAGGTTTTGTTATTGGGAAAGCTGAAAATTCTACTAGATTGTCTCACCTGCAGTTTGCTGACGACCTAATCATTTTTTGCCAAGCAAATCTTACTCAGATCAAGAATGTCATAAGAATGCTGAGGATTTTTAGTGTTATGGCAGGTTTGCATCTAAATTTGGTGAAGAGCAAGCTGTTTGGAATTAATATAGAGGATGAAGTATTAGCAGATTGGGCATCACAAGTGGGTTGTTCAGTAGGTTATTTTCCAACAGAGTATTTGGGTCTTCCTCTGGGTGCTAAGAGAAATTCAGAGGCTTTATGGGATCCATTTTTTAGGAATTTTAGTGCCAAACTTGCTGGTTGGAAAGCTTCCTATCTGTCATTGGCCTGTAGGACAGTATTATTGAAGTCAGTGCTAACTTCTTTACCAATTTTTTTCTTATCTTTGTTTAAAATGCTTTGCAAAGTTGGTAAGAAGTTAAATTCGTTAATGGCCAATTTTCTATGGGGCGATAAAGAGGAAAAGATGAGAATTCATTGGGTGAATTGGAGTACGGTTTGTAGGCCATGAATGAAGGCGGTCTAGGTGTCCAAGATTTGAGTCTCACCAATCGGGCTCTATTGGGTAAGTAGGTGTGAAAATTTACCAATGATAAAAATTTCCTATGGAAAAGTGTGTTGTGCAGTAAACACAAGGTTAGTTGCAATAATATGTCTATTAGGGAGGTCATTTATCCGCAATCTTCTTGGATTTTGAGAGGAATTGCTAATAATTAATTAAAGAATGATTCAGTAGGAGATTGTCTTAGATCAAACTCGAAGTTGAAAGTGGGAAATAGAAAGTCCATTTCTTTTTGGAATGATGCATGGGCTGATGAGAGTTCTTTAAAATTTCTTTTCCCTAGAATTTTTGTGCTCTCTCCTAATAAATAGGGGAAGGTTGTAGAGTTTGGAAGCTTTGAACCGAGCGGTTGGGTGTGGAATGTCCAAACTAGAAGGAATTTGTATGATTGGGAATTGGTTCAATGGATGGATTTGATGTCTAAACTGAAGGATATTCAACTATCAGAGCTGGTGGAAGATTTTTTATCGTGGTCTGCTAGTAGAGATGGTTTATATTCGGTCAAATCTTGCAGAAATACTCTTGCCAGTGAGTTTGGGGGTAGTGTTTTGTGGATACAAGGGGTTTGGATGGGTCTTGCTCCACCTCGGGTGGAAGCTTTCCTTTGGCAGCTTGCACATCAGAAAGTAGCAGTCAAAGTTGAGTTGGTTAAGAGAGGTATACCCCTAAGAGATGATATTTTGTGTCCTTTGTGTAAGAAACAGGAGGAATCAGTGCAACATTTATTTATTTCTTGTAATGTTGTTTGGGAATTATGGAACAAAATAGCTAGTTTCTGGGACATATCGTTGGTGTTACCACATGATCCTCCTTCGCTTCTTAGTTCATTGGGTAATTTGGAAATTTATTCCGGGAGTCATCTTTTGGTCAATCTGGAAAGTTAGGAATGCAATGGTTTTTGAAGGATCTCTTCTTGACAGAATGTCGTTGTTCTTCATTATTAGATTCAGGCTTACTAAATGGTTCCTAGCCAAATTTCCTAAGATAACTATTCAGGAGGATGTATTGATTGGTAATCCATCCCTTGAATATGGAGTATCACTATTTAAAGCTAAAGATCGTCATGTCTTACGATGGATCCCCCCCGATAGATTTCCTAAAGATGAATGTCGACGGAGCTGTTAGGCTTGATGGTTCGGGTGGAGGAATATTAAGAGATTGTAATTGTTGTACCCTTTTGACTTTTTCAGAGAATGTTGGTCAAGGAACTCCTCCACTTGTTGAATTAAAAGCTATTAAAAGAGGCATTGAAATTTTTTTGTCGTCACGTTAGGAGTCTGTTGGTAGGTTGATCGTTGAGAGTGATTGTTCGTCTGCAGTGGAATGGATTCAGTCCCCGATTTTGGCTCTAGTTTTTTTATCGCATCTAGTTTATCAGATTTCTACCTTATCACGGGAAAGGTTCATTCAGTGAGGTTAATTCCAAGGGCGTGCAATGGAGAGGCAGACAGTTTAGCAAAGAAAGGGATAAGTTGATTGTATAGGTTCAACTGTGGTTTTTTTGGTCCAGTGAGAAGAATTTTATGGCAGTTGGAGTGTTTAAGTTTTATGTACTGAATTTTAGTGTAATTGTTAAATCTTATGTAATTTTTCAGTATCAATAAAAGTTCAAGGCACTCTTTTCCTCCTTCCGCTGATTAAGGAGCTTAATTTAAAGCTCCATTAATCAAGAAAGGGTTTTTTAACAAGGACTTCCATTCTTATAAAAAAAAAAGGAGACAGAATTCACTTGTTCTGCTGGCATTGCTCATAATAAGGTAGCTAGAAAGTTTTTTTCTCTCCTCTGTACTCTTTCAGCAGTTACTGTAAGGTTTTGTCTAAAACTAGCTTTTACCAACCTATGTCATCATCCTAACACTGACTTTATTACCAGATGTTGGCAAAACTTGCTAGCGGTATGAATAAACCTGCACAACAAACTGTTGTGCCTTCCTCATCTGTAAATGCATTGATCAATACATTGCCAATAAGGAAAATGTACATTTCTAAAATTTCTGGATTTAATTGAAATGTTAAGTGAGAATTAGTTACATGCCTTGAGGAATGATAGGTAAACATCATCAGCAGAGCAGTATATACCTTGTCAGCTTCTCTCCTAACATGTGGCACATTACTTTGACAAAAAAACTTTCTTTCCAGGAAACAGCTTGGAGGCAAGCTGGGGATTTCCTTACAAAATGACATGGGTGTGAACACTGGGGGAGATCTATTGCAGTTTCCAGAGGAGAAGCTACAAGAATGTTATGGCGTAAATACTGGGTCAATAACTTTTATTAATAGTGCTTTTGCACTTGTCTTATATTACTCTGATCATTTTTGCAGCTTCTCCTCTTAAAGTTTATGACTTATGCTACATAAAATAAAGGGTTGTTACCTAGCAGGCTAGCATTTTCCAAATTTATTTTTATTTGTTGTTTTCTTGTTTTAATCTTAATGTGATAAAGATCCACCAGAAGAAAGTGCCATTTCTAGATGTGTTTTAACATTTGCTGATTCATTGAACAATTATCTAAGTATGGTTCCTGAATACACATGTTTTGTTTGGGATCTAGTACTTGGATGTGGAACATTGCAAGAGGAATCCGTGGAGAAGCAGTTGAGGGACGCCTTCTCCCCAAAAGCCATCGTTCTGGAAAGACATTTCCTGGCCCTCGGGCATTAAAGACAATTCCTGCTGTAAGAGTTTTGTCTTAATAAAAATGCACTATGATCTTTCCATGTCATGAAGTCATTGTGTTAATATCCTGTGTGATCATCTTAGCGTGTAGATTTTTTGCAAGTGTTTGAACTTATAAATGATGGTACAAATTGCAACACAGTGCTTTCTAATTATTCAATGCCTGCACAAGATTGTGGCATACGATAATGGTGCATGCCAAACATGCTAAAGTTGTTGAAAACATTCCAATTATCGTAAAGGCTGTTAAGAAATGATAGTTGTAGATCTATTGTGCAATGACCATAGCTTTATCAACATCAATGCCTGTGCTGACTTAATGCTAAGTTGGTTCTTTATGCGAGTCACGATCGTTGTTTAGAGGGATGTTTGAAAGGGGTGATTAATGGAAAGTTTGGCAGCAAAAACAGGTGCTGATGTTGGAGCGACAGTTTTTCTCTATAATGAATTTGTGTAAAAACAAATTATCATATTGCTTTGATGCTTTTGTTTCTCAATTTATTTTGCATCTGCATTTGTTATCTCGCTCTTATATCAATTGTTTACTTGCTTCGATCATGTAGTCTTCCCTAGAAGCATTTTTGGGACATTTAGCAACTCTGTCACTGAAGTTCATTTTCTTTTGTAACTTGCCTCTTTATATGTTTGTACTAGGTGCAACACTGGCTTAATCAGCTTTGTGAATAACTTAGTGAAAGACTTTGCTCTGACTTGGACCAAAACAAAAGGATGGCGCACACTTTTAAGTCTACATGCTAGAGCATACAAAGTATCTTTTTTCTTTTATTCAACAATTTTATGTGCCTGTGACAGCTTCTTTCTATTAAGAAATCCATATTCTTCCTATAGGATGTGCTAACTCCAGCATTCTAGTTTTGCTGATTACGAGTATTTCTGCAGTCCAGTGACTCAGATTCACAGAAAAAGTTCCCGTCAAAATCTTATCCAATAAGGTATGGGACTGCCAAGATCCAGGAAGATGCCTTCAACCTATTTCAAGCTGGATTACGTGAATATATTGGAAGTTATGGTGTTAAGACTCAAGGAAGTCTTTGTAGTGGATGGGGAATAACATCATTTTCTGTTTTAGCCAGTAAAATTGTTCCCATACCATCTGTAAGTTCTAGTGTACATTGTTTGTAGTAAATGATGACCTTGACATGGTTTTTGGACAACCGAACATTTTGTATTATGTGTTTACTTTAGATATTTTTGACAGGGAACATGTTTAATTGATAAGTATTTTCATGGCCAATCTACATCCCACTTTTCTTCAATGCAACCGTTGGATAACTTTAATGCTGAAGCAACAGTTTCACTACCTCCAGGTCTTCTTGCTTTTCTGATCATTTTCTGACCTTGCTTATGATTGTAATGCATTTTCACCATAAGAATGGGGCTTGGTTTTCATTCAGGTAGTAAATGCTACTCAGAGGTGAATTCACCCAAAGCAGAAGTTCATTTTCCCAAGGAAAGCTGGATCGAGGATAGAGTGCCTGATTTGGAACTTCAAGAACAGAGTAAATTTATTGAAAGATGATGTTCTTACTGTTTAGTTTTTGCAAATTCTTTTCTGAGTTGCAGTTCTAAGATGACTAGGTTATCAAAAGAATGAAAACACTCAAAGGTTCTAGGGCTTATGTAGAATATTTAGGAGTTTCTCGTTGAGGTTTCGCTGCTAATTTTGAATTGTATTTAAAATTTGCAATTTGACGAGTGATTTGGTTTTGCAATTTGGAATATGATTATGTGATGCAAGGAACATAGACCTCTATACTATTGTTATTTTCCCTTCATTTTAGAAAGCGAGATATTAGAGTTTCTACATATATAAACCGTAAGCCACATGATATGAGTATAATGTGTGTTCTGTGAGAAGTACCAACCTGTTTACAGTAAACACTATCTTTTTTTATAGGAATAGAAGGCCTCATTAAAAACCTCCCTCATAGTTGTCTCTTGTAAAGAGACAAATAAAGGAAGGAGGAAAAGAGTGCCTTAATATATTAATAACCCATAATTACATAAGATTACCAACCATTACATAAAATTACCTAACATAGAAACATAACCAAAATAAAACACCATAACCACTACTCAAAACAACAAACTCCTCACTCTCTAACCAATTCCTGACTTAGCTAGACAATCAACTTCCACATTAATACATCTACTGATATGCTTAATAATAATATTAGACTGAACAATTGTCTTCTGAATTTCTGAGATCAAATCAACAAGGTGAACCGAACAAATTTCCGGGCTATTGATCCAATTCACAGCAAGGAATGAGTCACTTTCCAAAATCAGAATACCTTTATCCCTCCAAACTGACTCAAAAAACATTGCTAACCCCACTTTAATAGCAAAAATCTCAGCAAGAATAGGAGAACAAGGTCCTAATGCTCTAGAGAAGGAAACCAACTTGTTTTTATCAGCATCTTTAAGAACTCCACCAATACCACTTCTTCTCCAATCAAAGTTAACAGCCCCATCAACATTCATCTTAAAATACCCTGTAGGAGGAGGACACCATTTTAATCTTGACAATCGAAAGTTGGAGGGGGACTTATGAAAATCCGCCAAAGAAATATCTCCCACAAGGTTGTCCACTTGGATAGACACATCCTTGTTTTTAGCTAAAAACCATGATGCCACCCTATACCTCACCAAGAAAAACAAATTAGCTTTATCGAACTTGCCTTTCTCGAAAACAATCTGGTTCCTACACAACCAGACAGACCACAAAATAGCTCATGGAATAAATCTCCAAATACCCGAGTTAGGTCTTAACTGCACCCATGAAAGTAAGAAGCCCTTCGGATTATTAGGAAGAACTGAGATAATTTTCCACAGACGGAGGATTTTGACCCAAATCTGCCAAACCTGGACGCACAAAAAAAATAAATGACTGACCGATTCTGGTTCCACACCACAGAACACACATAGGGGGAATCGATAATTTTGACTTCCCTACTCATTAAAATAGTTTTGACATCCAGCTTCTGATTAATAATTTGCCAAAGGAAAATCTCCACTTTTGGTGTAACTAAACCCCTCCACACAATCTCCAACCATGAATTATCTGAGTCTGATAAACTTGACACCAATCTAGAGCAAGATTGAACCGAGAACACATCATCCCCACTACCTTTCCACGCCAAACAGTCTCCACCCTTCAACAGAGGTTGAAAATTATCCAACAATACCATCATTTCCATCCAATGTTCAAACTCACTATCCATTAAGTTCCTCCTAAGTTGTAAATCCCACGTCAACTTCCCATTAGACATACACCCAAAATCAGCCACAACCCCTTCCTTAGGTGCAAAGATTCTTGGAAACATACTCTTCAAAGAATAGTTAGAAATCAATGAATCATGCCAAAATGTAATTGAATCTCCTTTTCCCACCTGAAGCACAAGATTATTCCGAAAGCATAACTCAAAATAATCATTAGTCCGAAAGTTATTAACAACACCTTTCCAAATCCAAGACACATTAGAGGGCAGATTATCATCTAGAACAATAGAACTCATCCCCACATTATACTTGGAACATATCATTGTCTTCCACCAAGAATCCTTCTCTGAACCAAACTTTCATACCCATTTGCCCAATAAAGCTCTATTTCTTAGCTTCAGATCCGAAATTCCCAATTCCCCCAGCTCTTTATTTTTGCAAATAGTATTCCAATTAACCCAGTGAAACCTCTTCTTCTCAGCCGAAGAACCCCACAAAAAGTTGGCCATAATAGATTTCAGTTTCTTCCTCACAACCACTGGCAATTTGAAAAGTGACATATAATAATTAGGGAGTGCATTCAGGACAGATTTTATCAAAACTGTCCTACCTGCTATGGATAGAGTAGATAATTTACAGCCTGCCAATTTCTGATAGAATTTATTCATAATCGGATCCCATAATTAAATAGAATTTCTCTTTGCTCCCAATGGTAATCCCAAATATTCTGTCGAAAAGGAGTCTCTTAAGCAACCAATAGATTTTGCCCACTCCCCAATAATCTGATCTTGTAAATTGATACCAAAAATTCTGCTATTCACTAAATTCAGCTGTAGCCCTGTGCACATCTCAAAAACAACTAGAACCCTCTTCAAATTTGCCAATTGTCCTTTAGATGCTTTGCAAAAAATAATCAAGTCATCTGCAAATTGTAAGCGAGTCAGCATTAAAGAAACATTATCAGAACCTATTTGAAAACCCTTGAACAACCCCAACCCTGTTGCTTTAGACAACAACAGATTCAAAAATTCGCCTACTAGATTAAATAGGAGCATAAAGAACACCCTTGTCTCAGCCCCTTAGATGTTTTAAAACTTTCAGTAGGAGAACCATTAACAAGAACTGAAATAGAAGTTAAACTTAAGCAATTATAAATCCACGACCTCCATCTTCTGTTAAACCCCATACACTCCATAATTTGAATTAAAAAATTCCAATCAACAGTGTCATAAGCCCTCTTAAAATCCACTTTAAAGACGAGACCTTCCCTTTCTTTCCTCCTCCAAAAATCAATGGCTTCATTAGCAATTTAGGAGCAGTCACAAATCTGTCTTCCCGGGATGAAAGCAAACTGAGATTGACCAATTAGCCCTCCTATGCACAGCCTTAGCGTACTAGACAGAAATTTAGACAGTATTTTGTAAAGACCCCCTACTAAACTGATTGGTCTGTAATCCTCAATACCAATCGGATTCTGCTTTTTCAGAATTAAAGTAATGAAAGAATGATTGACACCTTTCCCTAACTTCTTTCCATCATAAAAATCCTCGAAAAACTTATGGGTATCTCCTTTCAATACCGGCCAAAATTTCTTGAAAAATCCCATATCCAATCCATCCGAACTCGGAGCTTTGTTACTATCCGAAGACTCTATTGCCTCCCAAACTTCCCCCTCCGAAAAATTCTCCTCCAAATGTACAACTTGATCGTCCGAGAGCCTATTGAAATTCAATTCCAGCTTCTCAAATTCAACCGTCGCAATGGCATTATAAGCGTTCTTGAAATAAATAAAAAAACAACAGCTTTTATCTTCCTCGGCTCCTCAATCAAATTACCACTCGTATCCAAAGAATTAAGAGCATTAATCCTCCCTCTATTTGTAGCACATTGATGAAAATATCTTAAATTTCGATATCCATCCATAATCCACTGTGCCCTTGATTTTTGGAACCAAACTAATTCTTCTTTTTTATACAATGACCATAATTCACTTTTTTCTTTTGCAATATCCACCATAGAAACGAATGAATTCCTTTGTTGTAGTTGAATTTCTTGATTCGAGAATAGCCTCTCTTTGTTGTCTATCAATCTTTGTAGTTGCATTCTTCTTTCATTAGACCAATTCCTGATTTTCATCTTTGTTTCTCTAAGTATCTGCTCAATGCTCAGCCCCTTCCTACTCTTAACTTCAGAAATTTTCTTTTCCACTGTTTCCTTGAATCTCTCCTCCTCCATGATATAATTAAACAGTCTGAAGGGTTTAGGACCCCAATTTAACTTACTGGATTCCAAAGCCATAGCATTATGGTCTGAAATTGATTTAGGTAATAACAACTGAACAACATCCGGGAATAATCCTAAAAAGTCGTCCGAAACAAGAAACCTATCCAGCCTCACGAACGTAGGGTCTTCCCTATTATTACCCCAATTGAAACTCCCTCCCACCAAAGACAGATCCATCAGACTTGCTTGAAACAGAAATTCCCTGAACCACGCAATTGAATTTTCATTCATATATTTTCCCAACTTCTCTTCCTGTGATAAATGAGCATTAAAATCTCCAGCAACACATAATGGGAATCCCAATGTAGAAATAAAACAGGTTAACTCCTCAAAAAAAGCCTATTTATCAACTTCAACAGAAGGCCCGTAGACATTAATAAAACATCACAACTCTTGTTTGTCATTTACTATACCCTTCAACGCTATAAACCTTGGAGAAATCTTCACCAACTGAGGTAAAAACCAGTCCTCATCCCAAAGAGTATACAATCCCCCTTATGCTCCCACTGTTGAAGACTCCACCATCCCACCTAGATATTTACCCCCCAACTTCCTCCTCGTACCTATATTAACCACCTCCAATTTCGTTTCTTGCAGAAAAAGAAACGATGGTTTCTTATCTACAACTATCTTCCTCACTGCCCTAGCCTTTTTCTTCCTACCTAAACCCCTAATATTCCAAGTGACATAAGATACTCGACCCATAAAAAATAGTTAAAAACCTTCAATCAACTAAGGGTCAATACCCACCGCTCTCCCTCCTAGCCGAATTGGACTCCGAAAACTTCTCAGCAAAATCCTTCTTTCCCCCCTTAAAGTTAACACCTAACATTTGACTGACCTGCCAAGTTAATTCCATTTCGTCTTTATCCATTGAAAATTCAACTGCTGAGAAACCCTTCTCCGATTCACCTCTCTTATTCTTCTTATTAGATTTGCTATAAACTCTATCACAGAAGATGGTATCAGCACTATGAGACCAAACACGATTTGTTAGAGGGGAAGAATAACACCTCCTTGTAGGAACTTTACTAACTTGTACCCCATTAGATCCAAATTGAACTGCTGCAAAATCCATCTTTGAACCCTCCAAAACAGTCTTCTGAGGATCTCTACATTCCCCCTATTATTAACTAACTCATCAGGCTTGTAACCACCCCTATTTGAATTTGGACTTCCCTGAACGGGCTCATTATCTTCTTCCCTACCCATAGTACCATTAAGCCCATTAACATGGTCAGCATTATCATGCCCCAAGGAGACCTCAACCCTGTTAACCACCCATTCTCTCTCTTCTATACCAGCCCCCAACCTTCTCTATTGTCCCTGAACATCACCCAGAACTGTCTCCTCTGCACATAAGTCAACTGCCACTAATTTTGAAAAACCCATTTTCTTTCCAACCGCCCATCGAAAATTGTGCGCTCCCCTTGTGATGAGTACAAGACCTATGCTTGAACACTATTTTGAATATCTGACAACGCATGCTTACCCACCCTCCCTTCTTGCACTTCGATATCTTTTTATTCTTATGTTTCTGGTTATAAACGTATCAGATTACAAGTTTATTCTGTCTGCAGGATCTACCTAGCTCTCCATCAAAGATGTAAGATGGGTTCGCCCAGGATAGTTCACCATCCTTACTCTTAGGTGATATCTTCTGGTACTTGTTGTTTCCATTGGCTCCGTAACTGCCCTTCCTAGTTCTGATTTTGTAATTGTGTTTATTGAGGAAATGAAGGGTGCTTGGAACAGAACCAGAATAAACAACAAAGAGATATAACTAAGGATGAAGGTCAGTTTAAGTTAGAATACAAGGAGCGAAAAGGAAAAAGATTGAAAGACAAGGTTCAAATTATGAACTTTCATTTATCTCTTCCTGTATTTTTGCTACTTAATGTTCTACACTGCTATCCTGAGAATACTTATCACGATCTGTTTTGCTTTGATTGAGAAAACGGGTTTAATGTCTTGAAGGTGTTATTAGACGGCTTTTCAGTTTCACATTAATCGTTGATATATAATATTCAAATTTGTTCATTCTCGTATTCTGGAGACAGTCTTAGCTTCCGTCAACATGTTGTCACTTGACAGGGAATTCATTCAATTTTAGAACTTTTTAAGAGTTACAATCCCAACCCCTTCGGCTCCTCTTTGTACCAAGAGCTCAAGAAAACTATCGAAGGCAGTGATACCTGACTGACCATTGGTAAATCTTGAGACTCCACTTTTAGGGTTTATATAATTACCAATCATTTAGTTCTCTGAATTTTTAAAACTTGGGTGCAGGTTTCGAGTCAAAAGATCGTAACCTTGCAGAACAGAAAAAGTGGGAAATGAGCAGCCAGTGAATAGTAGTGGTAGCAGTTACAGTAAGAGAAGGGTGATGGAAGAAGAGAAGCATGGAGTTACAAAATTGATGAAATTGATCTATTGGTGGTTGATGAATTACCACCGGAGATTCGAGATGAGATTAAAGCATGGGTGCATCCCCATAAGTGGCGGCCTAATAATACAGTCAAGCAAGGTTGTAAAATCCCTCATTATTTTTCACCCACCAAAAAGTCTTAACTATGAGAACAATGATAATATGTTAGAACATGGTCAGTGTTAAACCATATTCGGTTAAGTAGTTAAGTGTAAAAGGTTAAGAGGTTAATTGGTTGTAACCAACTTTGTAACAACTAGATCCTTTCTCTTGATGTCTCTTTGGAGACTTTAAATAGTTGCTTAACTTGTGTACTTAAGATCGTCAATACATTTGTAGTTGATTACTCTTTTCTTTGCTATTCTTTCTAAGTTTCTTCCATAGTTAACATTGTATCTGTAACATCCTCAATACCGGGTTAGTGACTAAATTGTAAAGTCTCAGAATTTGGTGGTTAAAATAAAATGAATGAATAGTATAAAGATTTACATGTAAATTATTGTGTAGGATGTAATTGAGAGGAATAAGGAATGGAAGGACAATAGAGTAATTGCAAGGAAAAATAATTAAAGAAAGGATAAGTATATCTATATAAGGATACACGTGGGTGGAAGGGGAGAAAACACACAAGGCTTCCAAAGTTCTTTTCTTCTTCTTTCTTCCTTGTGCGTGTGAACCAAAGTAGAGGTAAGATTTATGATTATTGAGTTTCTTGTTAAATTTAAGATTGGTTTTTGATTATTTGATGATAACTAAGCTTAAGGAAAGCTTAACTTATCTTAACATCAAAGGATGATGGAGTTAGGAGAGATTTAAGATTTGAAGTTCTTAAATGAAATCTTGGAATAGAGTTCATAACTAGAATTGAAAGTTAAATTTGACTTGTCATCAATCTAGTTAAGATATACGAAGTGTTAAAAGTGGAATTCAAACATGTTGAATTATTGATGTAATTCTTGAATTACATATGAAAGATAGGATTTGGAGGTTTAAGATGAAATGAGTATAAATTGGTTTAAGGATGTATACTAGAGTAAGAATGAAAAAGGGAATTAAACATGAAGGATTTAATCCAAAATGAATGAATTTTCGGGTTCAAAAAGAGGATTCTGGGCAGAGTGCATCGATGCATATTCATAGTGCATCGATTCATCAAGGTTAAAACCCAGAAATTGTTTGAAGGTGTATCGATGCACAGGTAGTGCATCGATGCATTCTTTTAAAATAAAGAGATCGAATGCAATTAGTGCATCGATGCATAAGGCATGCATCGATGCATTACAATAATAATAAAACATCGAATGCATTTTATGCACCGATGCACAAGTAGTGCATCGATGCATACCTTCATTAAAAGAGGAAATTGGCATTTATCTTAATCTAAAGAGTGAACCATTAGAGTATATTAGTTATAATATTGACATAGATCCATGTGTGATTATAGATATTAAAAGTAAGCTTATTCTGGAACGATCAAAGGATTAGAATCGAATCAAAGCAAAGCTAAGGTGATTGCATACTATATGTATAGTATAATGGAATAAGACTTGTGATAAGTCTAATCCCTATATTGATTTTCATAGTACAATAGTTGTGAACATGCATACATGATAATTATTGTAATACATGCATAAGACATATATATGTTCATGTGATTGGATAAATGATGTATATATATGAATAGATTCAAATATACATGTGATATGATATGTGATGTGATGTGAGAACATGACATGAAGTAGTGACATGAGCTACATGATCACAAGAGAAATGAAATGAGTACATGAACATATGAAATATAAGAATAATGCCCATAGTATACGATATGAGAGTTATAGGTGTAATTGGCATGCCAAGATTTGAGGGTATAATAGTCATTCGGGACGTAGTCCTTCGGGATGTAGTATTCCTACGGGATATATATGACAGTCCTTCGGGACGAATAATGAACTAAGGTTCGGTGCCCCATGAGGGAATTGATACGAGCTGTGGTGACAGTATTAGTGCACAACCTCCATGTACTCACATACCTCTATTCTCAATAATATACATGGGCAATTGAAATACAAAGTAAAGTGAAAGTGGTACAATAAGGTAAGTTTCGTACATGCATGATATGATTATATATGTTATTGTGTAATAGATACATGCATATTGAAATGTCATGAAGGAAATGGTAAGAATGCATATTCATGAAGATATTGTTACATATTCATTTATTGCCTCACTATGTCTATGACTTAACGTGTAAGTGATTTACACGTAGGTACCAAGAAATAAGAAGATTCAGAATAGAAGTGACACGGACAGCAACATTACTAATAAATCAGATCAGAAGTAATTGACAAAGTAGGTATTTTGTTGTGTATAGAGTGTTGGTATGTAATAAGTGGTTAATTACGAATGTTCTGATCGATTTTGTATTAAGTGGTCTCTTTTATGTAAATTAAAGTATTGTGTTTTAATGAAAGTTTTAAATTCCCGGGGTTTTTTCTTTAAGAATCAAAGTTTGAAAAGTCAATTGAACATCTCAGACTTGTATTTGGGTCGAATATGAGTTAGGGGTGTTACATTTAATGGTATCAGAGCTACGGTTTAGTCGATTCTCGGTATAAACCGGAGTCTAGAGTGTTTGATAATGTATACATACCAACAAAATAGTGGAAACTTCTGATCTGATGGGATAGTAAGTATGTTATTTTGCTAATAGAACTATATGGTTGTATTTTTATAGATGTCCGGATGAGGTAGTTCTAGGAATGAAGCGGGAGATGATAGACCCGCTGAAAGCAGTAATTCACCTGCCCTGGCCAGGCAGAGTGAATAACAGACATCCTCTGGAATGCCTGTAAATGATCAAGATATATTCTTTAGAACGTTAGACGCGGTATTGACGCGTTTCCAACCTCCTGTTACTTCAACTCCAAAAATGAATGTTGTGAAAGAGTTGAAGGGATTAGGAGCTCCAGAGTTTAGAGGGGAAGCCGATGAAGGTTCTGTTACTGCGGACCTTTGGCTTAATGACGTGAAGGTCATGCTTACGGGACTTCATTGTTGTGATGTTGAGAAGCTGGATGGAGTAATTTCCTTATTGAGAGGAAAAGCAAGGATCTGGTGGATCAATGTTACATTGAGGATGTCTAACGCCCAAGTAACTTGGTCATTGCTTTTAGAAGAATTCAAGCATAAGTACATCGGAGATCAATTTGTTCGTCAAATGAAGCAAGAGTTCATAAATCTGAAGTAATGGAATCACACTGTATATGAGTACGAGTGTGAATTCAATAAGTTGAGCTGCTTTGCTGCCGAGCTAGTTCCTACAGAGAATGATACTTGTGAGTGGTTTGTAGAGGGGTTACGTCCTCGGTTGAAGGAAATGTTAATTGTCTTGAATTTATCCTCGTTTCAAGAGGTAGTCAACCGTGCTAAGGCTCTGGAAAGAGCTCATAACGAAAGGTTTGAAAATTCGAGAGCTCAGACAGCCAAAAGAACGGGTGCTTCTTCGAGTTTCGCACCATTAAAAAGGGATAGAGATGCTGGTTTTTGACCCTAAGTTAGATCAGAGCCAGTGGCATCCTCCGCTAGAGGATCAAATCAGATGAGAGGTAGACAAACTCAGTCAGTGGGATCTGGAGCTGGGAGATCTAATCAGAGTCAAGCCAGACAATGCCCACATTGTGGAAAGAATCATTCAGGGATATGCCGGATGATTTCTAGAGTCTGCTTTAGATGTGAGGACGCTGGGCATTTTGTTCGGGATTGTCCAATGTTAACCAGTGAATCT